GGTGGGGGGGGGGGGGGGGTATATATTGAAATGTATTATTACAAAAACTGTAAGGTCGATTCATGGAACCCCCCATTGGTACAGCGGTATGTCTGCGGACTTACGACGCTAGAAACCGGGTTTTGATACCTGTGGTGGGCAGAGCACAAATAGCCCATCGTGTAGCTTTGTGCTTAACTACAAACAAACAAACAATTCTTGACTGGTGTCAAACATTAGAAGACTTTTCCCCTTTTTGATTAGCCACACTCTCACCTCTTAAGATGAGTTGGTTATTTATCAAAGGAAAGGCGTCTAATCATGTAGTAATCTTAAAGCTACAGATAATTAAACATTTGCAGTGTCCCCTTCCGGTAATTCTACGCATAGTGGAATCATTTATGATATATGTATGAATTTTTCAAGATCAAACTCTTGGCCGATTTGAGATCTAATTACAGTTTTGTACTCAGGAGGTCAAACCCTTTTGATTGGTATATTTGACCACGCCCAAGATCTCATAGATTAATTTACTCTAATCCTGCTTAAAAGAATTTCAAATGTTGTGGCTATTGAAGATTCCCTCTTGTTTTCTTTTTAAGTCCAAAGACATTGGAAACATGATAATTAATTCTAAGACTGACTTAGTTCAATTGCAAATTGATATTTGACTGACATAGTCAATAACGTTTAAATTGTTATCTTCCAAAATTCAAAATCCCTCCAAGCAACAGTGACTTTTTTTTTTAGAAATTAAGGACTGATCTTACGTGTTCATCACACTACGCCGAGCAACAGCACTGCCGGGAGCTTACAAAGTTTTTTTGTCTTTGTACGTGTGTCTTCCTTTGGTAAATACTGTAAGGAAATCTCATTGGGGAGATTTTTAATCAGATTTCAGTATATTTCGATCAATGATAAAATAATTTAGAAAAAGAATTATATTGCATAGTAAAAAAGAAAGAAAAAACATTACGTGGATTTCATACTTCCTGTTACCCATTAAAAGTCGGAGAAATAAATGTCATCTCTCACGGGCTTAAATGATACATCTTTGTCAAAATTCATTGTAGGCAACATCTTTACTTAAAGACATGGTATCTGTGTAGGTTGGTAAAACAGATGGAAGACTTTATGTATTCTCTGTGTAGGAAAGTATTTTCATGTTCATGTGCAGTTATTTTTATTAATATAACTTCTGGTTGTCTTGTTAGATACAATTTTAATCAGAAGCGACATTCCGGTTCTTAAACCTGTTTGTTTTTTACCTATTAGTTGTGAAACGATTAAAAGGCTCACGGCCGTTCACACCCGTGTCTATGCTGGCCGACCTTGACTCCCGACCGTCAGCCGTGCATACACAGGCATAGCAAAACCAGGGACTTGGCGTCCTGCCAAGACTGGCATGGTCACATGAAAGAGTCGTGACATTGGTTTCTTTTTCTTTTCTTTTTTGTCCATTTCTAGATTTACAGAACAGACAGGATATTATTTTTTAGGCCTTGAATGAACGCAGTACATTTATCGTCTAGTACATTTCGTGACCGGTTACACAAGAATAAAACCACACGTAGCTTTAGAAACCCTTGTTCGTGCTGTAAGCCTAAGTTGTTTGAGCAGTGTTTCAATAAAGATAAACAAGATTCATACAAAGATGACAGGTATTTAAAAAAACTCCATGGATCTTAAATACAAAGTAGACAAATTAACTTTGAATAAAACAATGCCATACCAGGCATATACATATCGTTATATGAAATATGAAAACACTTAAAAAAAACGCTTTCGTCAGGATAAGCCAGAAGTGTGCTTTTACACTTTCTAAACGAGTAAATACAGCTGTAAAGTCAGAAATATAATTGTTAAAAAAAGAGCAAGCAACGTGCTGAGAATTGTCGACAGTTACAGGTGTCTTTATCTCAATGATCAACATAATTTTCGTACATTATTAGGATAAATGCTTTTAGTTTTGAATGGGGAACCACAATTTTCGTACAGTATTATGATGATGCTTTTAGTTTTGAATGGGGAACCCTGCTTCACTCATATGTAGTAGTTTGTATCTGCTTGTGATGCATACATGGTCATTTGAAATATGCACAAAATCTCCAAAATTGTCTTCATGTTAATTAAACCAAGAAAGCATATTACCAAGGATATAAAACACGACTCCAAATTCATCAATTATCCCTATTGAATAGCGTTGTTATCCCTATTGTTAAACCTCACAGTAAGGAGAAACTGCATATAAAAACAGTTACTGTTTACCTGTAACCATAATTTGGGTTTTATTAGACAGGTTTTTAAACTTTGCATTTATACTCTTTTTCCAGTTCAGTATTCAGATATTTTATAGCAAAAATTCACCTGCTTTCACTGTAATGTTGTGCTGGAACAAGTATATTTTCTTCATGGTTATTGTGACATTTACAGAAACTTTGACTTATTATTTTATTTTATTTTTTGAACGTTAGGGATTTGGACAAAACTCTAATTGCTTAGTGGCTATGTTTTAATTCGAAGAGTGGCCTCGTACTTAAAACAACCTTCTTCGGTGTTTTTTCCCCATAGGGTAGGAAGGGAACTTTTCATTCCTCTCCTCTCTAGATGTTTTTGTAAACTTGAGGAATTATTTCTAGATGGCATCTATTGGTGTGTAAAAGCTTGGCTTCCCTAAAACTGTACCATCTAATACATGTTCAAATAATGTTGGGGAATACAACCAGACCATCGTCATTCAAACGTCCCGTACCACATCAGTCACCAAATAAAACTCCTCTTCCCCCCACAAAAAAACATAGTCGGTTACATAATACTTTAACTTTTCTCATATTGAGTTCTTGTACGTGTATACGTAATATTTATGGATATATATATATTTTCATACTGTGGCCGCGTACTTTGAACTTTGACTCACCTTTCGTATTTTAGTGTACCACACCCATCCGTACACAATAGCGTATGACGTGGGTGGGATTTTATCCTTGTTATCTCAACTCTGGCAAATCACGAGGATAATTTTTCCGGTTTTCGTGTTAAAACATGTGTGATGGTAATTCAATTTCTCGCCTATTTCTTGTTCAGGTTTAGGAACTCTCCATTACAACAGTACCAGGCTTATTATATTGAACGAAGTATTGGACTCACGTGTCTAATTATTTTAATATATAAATTTATATCGCTCAAATATTACACGTGGGTGAATGAAAATGGATAAAATTGTATGAAAACAGTAACATAAGTATTTGAAAACTGCACCCGGATATATAAAAACATCGTAATGGAACACATCATAAAATCATTAAGATGCTTTGACAAAAGCATTCTTTTATGTTATAATATTATTCAAGAAATATCGGAATTATATTATTGTTACAGTATAAATTACATCTGTATAAATAAAATTTTGTGCTCTCCTTTGACTTTATTTTCGCCAGTGGCACAGCTGTATGTCTGTGGACTTACAACGCGAGAAACCGGGATTCGATACTCGTTGTGGGTAGAGCACAGATAGCCCATTGTGTAGCTTTGTGCTTAACTACAAACAAACAAACCTACTGTAAGAATTTGTATTCAATATAATAGATTATACAAGTTGGCGCTAGATGTCACCGCTAATCGTATTTTTAGAAAGTTGCATACCTATGTTATCAGAGAAATCCAGTATCAAAGAAGAAATCAATTGTGTATAGCATTGAAAGGCCGAATAAAAGGATTGCTCTTTAGAAACTGTTCATGTGACATATATATGATGAAGTTTAGTATTTATTTCTTACAAGTTATGACTTTTCATGTAAAAGAATGCAGCTTCGCGTCTTAAAAGTAACGTGATTAGTACTTTTCAGCATTGCATCGTTTTCCTGTTCTCATTGCGAACACTCCAAAAATGTAACTAACGCGTTTCGTTTCTTTTGTATTTTCTCTTTCTCTCTCTCTCTCCTTTTTTGTTGTTTTCCCCCAAGCGTGGTTTCAAATGAGGCATGTGTAAAATGTTTTATTACCACTTTTGACTATTCATTATATATAAAAACAACAACATGTTTCTTCTAAAGTATGGAACATGATATTTTGTTTCTTCTGATGTTCCTTGAAAAACGTTAATAAAAACCTTTTCCACTTCATTCCTAATATCGACACACACACACACACACACACACATATATATATATATATATATATATATATAATGATATCTATTATTACTTTAAATATATACTCTAAAAACAACAGGAGAGAGGGTTAGCTCAATGCTTAGTGTGTAAGAATGTGGAGATGAGGTTCCGTGGCCGGTACCGGATTAACGCATAGGCCATACGGGGGCTTTGCTGGCCACCCTAGTAAAAAAATGATGGTTCGTAAAAATAGCAGAATAAAGAAAAGAGTGAGTTATTATTATTATTCCCAAATATTACTTGGGCCTAGGGCCCCACTAAACCTTAATCCGACCCTGCCTGTGGCTCCCGTCCCGCTACCGAGATACCAAAAAAAAAAAAACGCGCTCCGCACTTAGAGGCGTGGGTGCGTTACAAGATGGACGATCTAAGCTCATTCTCCACTCCGACAAGAGCACCCAAAGAGTTAGCGGTGGATGGTGTTGACTAGCTGTTTTCTCTCTAGTTTATTACTTCAAAATTAGGGATTAGTTAGCGTAAATCCAACAAACAAATGGAAAGAGGAGAGAAAAATACGTTCCTTACTCGGTATAATATTCAAGGTAAAATATGATATTTTGAATATTGCACAAAGTTCCATGTTTATAGAGGAAGAATTTAAGTGTAAGACTGAAGACAATAACAAAATATTACACTTTAAAATATAAATGTTACTATTTATAAATCTTAAGCTAACGAAACAAGTGTGGTCATTCGGTGCGCGACATATTTATGTATGTGTTCCCACCTTCCAAAAACAAAACTTATAAATCCACATATTATTCTCTCTTTATTGCGAAATAATTTATAATACTTGCTGTTGTTTTTACTGTCTTTTGTACAGGAAAGGAAGAAATGAGCCCTCCCACCAGTGGACATAATGGATGTTATGTTGACAGCTATGGAGATATCAAAAAGAAAACTAAAGGTCCTGTTCCCCGTCAACAGGAGGAACTCTGTTTGGTATGTGGGGATCGTGCTTCTGGATATCACTACAATGCGCTCACTTGTGAAGGATGTAAAGGTATTGTTTATGATATTATTTTAAACTGATATAAAATCAGCATTGAATTCAAATTTCAAAAACAAAATCAATGGGTTGTTGTAAGGAAAGGATATCCATTGTATACTTTCTAATATTTCATACAGTATACGACAGTTTACGTGATGATGACCACACTTTGAAAAGTAAAATTCTAAAACAGTAATTATAAGTGTTATAAAGTGAAAAAAATAAAGTAATCCTCTAAGGAAACTGTGTTTCTAAACTTTTATTTAAAATCAGTACATAATAGGAAAGATTGTTTATTTAAACCGATACATAATTTTCTTTACCTTCGATACTAATAAATTAGTAAGATCTAAGAATCGGTCACATAATAATGTAGTAGATACGCTCTTAGCTAAAATTATAGACAGTGGTTTAAAAAAAAAAAAAAGATATTTTCACTTTAATCATTTTCCCCCATATTTTTATATGAGCAGTGATAAATATAATACAACTTTATTACTTATGTAATTATATAAAAAGAACTTCGAAGACATGTATCAACATAAGTGTGTGTATGTATATTTATGGAGGAAGACCTTGTCATTGATGCACTGAATTTCTCATAAACAAGATAATTTGTTTTCAGCTCGATTTTGTGTATGTGGCTTTCCGTTTAACTGCCTGTTTTATTTTCTTGTATTTAATAAATCAACATAAAATCCTTGTAATGAATATCTCGTGATTTGAGATAGTAAAGGTATCTAATGTTGACATATAACTTATATTGCCCTTCACCTGGTTGTGCATGTAAATAGTATTAAAGTTGAATGAAGTTTCTTTTTTCTGTGCAGGTTTCTTCAGGCGCAGCATTACGAGAAACGCGGTCTACCAGTGCAAGTATGGCAATAACTGTGAAATTGATATGTACATGAGACGGAAATGTCAAGAGTGTAGACTAAAAAAGTGCTTAAATGTTGGGATGCGACCAGAGTGTAAGTTGCTAGATATTCTTAATGTATCATGTTTCCAATGCCCGCAATTTTATTTGTGAGTTGAGAGAACTGAAAACATTAATACAGTGCGTTACATCAAAACAAAAAATAGACTACTTTATTTGAATACATATTTATTTGCATTTGAATTGGTAACCCTTTTAAAATAATTTTTTCTCTGTTTGTTCCAAATGATTTTCGTGGAAGTCTGAGGAAATTAATGTATTGTACATACAAAATTAAAAATATTATTGTAAACTTTTTCATTTTTTTCATTATAATTTTGTAGAACACAGTTTTATTCATTGAATAATTTCAAGTTATATAGCGAAAAAACATTTCTTATAAAATTTGGGAAAACAGTTATCGTTTTGCTTGTTTATAACTAGGTGTAGTGCCTGAATACCAGTGCGCCATCAAACGGGAATCAAAGAAAATACAGAAAGAGAAGGATAAGCCTAACAGCACAACGAGAGAGAATACTTGCGAGAAAGATGAAAAAACAAACCAAGTTAAACCATTGGAACCCTCCCAGGAAGAAGTAATCAATAAGCTAGTCCTGTTTCAAGAAGAATTTGAATCCCCCTCAGAAGAAGATCTGAAAAAGATCTCTGTAAGTGGCATCCCATAGTGTCTTAGAACATAATTGGGTAAACAAAAATTTGCTAAATTACTTTAAAAAGTAAAATTTTAAAACAATAGTTTTGAAATATAATTATCTGGAATTTAAAAACACTTTTAGTATCCTGGTACTGCTAAGAATAAAAATTACTTTAATAATCTAATTCCCCTAAACAGCATAAAACACTTTGATAATCTAGTATTGTTAATAATACAAAACAGATAATCTGGTACTGCTAAGAATAAAAATTACTTTAATAATCTAATTCCCCTAAATAGCATAAAACACTTTGATAATCTAGTATTGTTAATAATACAAAACAGATAAACTGGTACTGCTAAGAATATAAAACACTTTGATAATCTAGTACTGCTAATAATATAAAGCAGATAATCTAACACTGCTAAGAATATATATATATATATATATAACATTTTGATAATCCAGTACTGCTAAGAATATAAAACACTTAGATAAACTGGTACTGCTAAGAATATAAAACACTTTGATAATCTAGTACTGTTAATAATATAAAGCAGATAATCTAGCACTGCTAAGAATATATATAACATTTTGATAATCCGGTGCTGCTAAGAATATAAAACACTTAGATAATCTGGTACTGCTAAGAATATAAAACACTTTGATAATCTAGTACTGCTTTGGCTTCATCAACTGGCTATAGGGAATAATAAAATTACAAAAGAAAAAATACAACGAAAACCAAGATGTCCGAGACAAAAATTTTAAACTACAAATGTATGGAAAACGTTTGTTTTGTCCTTCTACTTGATAAATTATAATCGTACTTTTTGTTATTCATGAATACTTGGATGCGTTTTTCATGTAATCGAAAAAATTTGAATTTTTCTTGAAATCAACGCCGCATAGTTCAACGTGTCCACATAATGTTCAAGTTATATATGAAGTAATAATTTAAAAAAAACATAATTGATATTATTTCCTTCTGCTTTCTTGACAGACATTTCCCACAGGCGATAGTGAAGAAGATAACCTTCGAAGGTTCCAACACATTACCGAAATTACCATCCTCACTGTCCAACTCATTGTAGAGTTTTCCAAACGTGTTCCCGGGTTTGATACCTTACTCCGAGAAGATCAAATCACTCTTCTGAAGGTAAGAAAATTTAAAGTGTCCGCTTTCGGAATAATGTATTTGCGTCGGATTTGTGTGTGTTAGTTTCCAATGTCACAAGTTGTAAAATATGTTGTTGTTTAAACAGAATTATCACCAATTCAATGTATTTCTGCCGATGTTAACAGGTTTGAATAGTCAATTTTATTATATGTTGTGGCAAGTTGACAAAACACACAATAATAATATAAAGGTTATGATAGTCTTGACCATTTGATGGATAAATATAAGTTTGTATTGGGGTTTCAGAGGTGTGGGAAGGTGGGGTAGCGGGGTTATTACTCCATGGTCCACTGAAAGTGAAACAAGCTTTATATATAAGAAAGAAACAGTGATAAAGAGAACGGTGAAATAAGATTTAGCTATGATAAGAAAAAAGAGGAAATTCTCAATAGCCGCGACACTTGAAATTATCTTAGGCAGGAATAGAGTTAATTAATTTATGGGGCTTTTTTTTCCCCTTTCAATTACCTATATTTTTGTGCGCCAGCAATAACAAGCGTGGGGCGCGTTCTACCCGATTCAAATTTATTACTCATTATGAACTTTACCAGCCTACCCTCAAATTGAAATTATTGTAGGCAGGATTATAGTAAATTAATCTATGAGACCTTGGGCGTAGTCAAATAGTTCAATCAAAAGGGTTTGACCTCCTGAGTCCAGAACTGTAATTAGATCTCAAATCGGTCAAGAAATGACGGAACTATGAGTTAAAAGTTTGTACTTTGATAAACTCGGAGTCATTCTATGAGCAGTTATGACGCGGCTAAGTATAATAACTCAATTGAGTTTTAATTTTGAACTCCTCTCTTGGTTGTTTTTGTTTGTTTGTTTTTAATTATGCACAAAGCTACACAAGAGCTATCTGTGCTCTGCCCACCACGGGTATCGAAACCCCGTTTCTAGTGTTGTAAGTCCGCAGACATACCGCTGTGCCACTCTCTTCAAGTCGTCTTCAGGTTAACTGTTACATTATACGAACAATGTTTAAAAATACTTTAATGAATGAATGCACGTGAACAGCTTGTTTACAAAAATAATTACAAATCATCTGCTTTAACAACAAAATTAGAACAATGTAGTACATAGTGCTGTAACAATTGAGAAGCATTTATAACAAATATTTTCATTTTTTAATACCACGGTTTTAATGAGTAAAAGCCGTCGAAACAGTGATAAAACAGTCTCTAATTTTACATTTTTAATGGAATGATTAAGAGGAATGTAGAAAAAGGAAACGTCTGCATTCTAGTGTGACTTTATCAATTATATCAGGCCTGTTTTTCCAACATTGTACTATATTTATAGAAATAAACTGATTTTGGAAAGAGTAATTAAAAGTTTGTTCAGTAATTATTGAACGTTAACGTAAAATCTGAGCGAGTGTTTTTGCAATTAATTTACCCACGTTATGAATTACAAGTATTAAATTTGGTATTTTATATTAAAACTTTAGAATTATTCCGATGATGCTACAAACTAAACATAAATACTTTGTTTACCCCCAGGCAACCAAAATTCGTTGTATGTTTGCTTTTGTTCGTGGGAACCATAGAGTTGGAAACAGCTATGTACTTTTTTACATTATTAGTATTTCTATGGTCGGAACCAACATAGCGATCTTTTACATCCAAAACTCTACTTTTAGCGAGTGAGCGAGCCTGTGTAATATTATGTAATGTAATTTGTTATAGACGTTATTGATGTTTTTGGTGATAATTATTAGTATTTCTGTGGTCGGAACCGACATAGCGATCTTTTACATCCAAAACTCTACTTTTAGCGAGTGAGCGAACCTGTGTAATATTATGTAATGTAATTTGTTATAGACGTTATTGATATGTTTTTGGTGATAATGCAATTTGGGAGAAGAGTTTGTGGATACTGGGGGGGGGGGGACATGGGTAATATCTTGCCTAAAGGTCCCTCACACCCTTGCTACAAAGGATAAACAGTAATTAACGTATTATTTAGCGGACATATATTAGCGTTAAAAACAGGATTTGGCAGTTATTCTATCAAAAGAGTACACACACAAATTAAATGGGGGAATCGTTCTTTTCTTCTCCCAGTTACCCATATTATTTTTTTTAAACTTTTAGCATATTTCACGATACAAAGAAGAGTGAGAAATTCCATTTATTGTATTAGGCATGCTCTAGTGAAGTAATGATGTTGAGAACTGCTCGGAAGTATGATGGAAAAACAGACTCGATCGTCTTCGCTAACAACCAACCTTACACGCGAGAGAACTACCGTAGTGCCAGTATAGGAGATTCCGCTGATGCTCTCTTTAGCTTCTGTAGGAAGATGTGTCTTTTAAAAGTTACCAATGCTGAGTATGCTCTACTTACAGCCATTGTAATTTTCTCAGGTAAAAATGCTTTCTAGAACTTACAAGAACGATAAAATTTAAAGTTGTTTTTATATTATACAACATTTTCACTGTATTTGAATGAAAGGAAAAATGGTCACCAGAAATCCGTTGTATTTTCTATTGTTTTCAGTAATTGTGATCGTATAAAAGACATGTTTCTCCCAAGGAGACAAATAGATTCAATAACGAGCCTCAAAATTTGCAAACTTAAAATTGTATATTAAAAAATATAAAAAACAGGTTGAATATAAAAAAATACAAAAAATAGTTTATGTTTGTTAATTGTAAGTGTTTTATAACAAACAAACAAAAATCACTTACATGAGCTTAAGTTGAATGAATTACCTCTGCTAATTCTTTCAATGCCATGGAAGTCTGCAAAACATAAACAGATGTTACAGAGAGTTTTATAAATGTATATTAATCTAAGATTTAATACTTAATTATGAATGAGGTAATGCCTTTCTTAAAGCTGTTCGTTTAAAATACAAAGTACCTAAATGTAATGGTATTTTTTGTACTTTTTTATGTGTTTTATAATTTGGACAAATTGTGGCATTTTTTATATTTTTAGCTGAACAAAAATAACATTCCAAATTCCCCTTATTTTGCAGAACGCCCTCATATGGTGGAAGTTAAAAAGGTAGAGAAAATACAGGAATTCTACATTGATGCCCTCCGAGCATATGTGGATAATTTCCGTCCACCTGGAAAGAACTATTTTGCCAAGTTGTTGTCTGTTCTTACAGAACTTCGAACTCTGGGTAATATGAATTCTGAGATGTGTTTTTCACTTAAGGTTCAAAACAAGAAATTGCCTCCATTCTTGGCTGAGATTTGGGATGTTATGGAGTAAATCTTTGTCTCTTAGGCCTAATTGAAATCATTCCGAGCAGGCTGAACTCCAGTTCTTTTTTTTGTTCTGCCTAATCTGTTTCATCATTGCAGTATGAGCAGTAGCCTTCAGCCCATCTTCACTAAATACAAGTCTGTATGTGACAGAGCTTGCTAGACAGCTTCCACTTCTAGTGCTTTGCATTAGATTTTTTGCCATGTCCGTGAGTTGAGCCACTGTCCTATGCTGATGATACTGGTATACACACACACACAAGGATGGTAAGAAAATTAGCTCTTGGCACATGAAACAAAAAACTTAATGTTTCTTAATTCAATGGTTGTGATTTTGCTCTTGACAAACCCTGAACCCAACTTTAATGGCATTGCTGCTTCTCTTTTGGATGAACTCCAGATGTAAAAGGTAACGCACAAGAGTGAAAGTCAAATGTGCAAACTTGTAGCAACCAATCACCTAGAATGGAGGAACTAATTGTGTTTAACAGATGAAAGTGACTGCATGTTAATTAGAAGGAATTATTACCAGTTAGCTAAGCAAGGCACTTGGCAAATAATATTACTTGGATTGGCTTCCAAAACTGTTAATTGTATTATTGTCTTTAATAGCCTGATGGTGGTTATCCTAAGGGTCATCATTTACAGCAGGGTTTAGCAACATCGAAATGTTATAGTTCATTTTTATAAAGATGTATCCACAAAGAAACATCCTATCATTGAACACTTTAAATTTTTGACATAAAATGATAGTGATTAATAATTTTTAACAAACTGAGATTTGAATTTTTGGTGCTGGTTTTTGAAAAGTTGAAACAATGACTTGCTGTGTCACACAACTGTGTAAACACAGATCATTATTATTATTACTATGACTGTTGACCTGGAAATAAGTATATTGACAGAAACACATTCTGAAAATTATTCATATTTTAGCAATTGACTAAAACATAAATCCAGTTACCTGTAAATATATAATGCATCAGGAATACATAAGTTTATGTAGACTCTTTCTAGCTTTTGTTTATGACAGGCATTTATAGAGTGAAAAATAGTTGCTTTGTCTGTGTTGGAGTTGGCTTGCTTTTAAATTTGGCATGATCTTTTTATTGATTCTGGTTATGCAATTGTAATATTTTGTTTAAAAGTTCAGACTAAGGAACTTTTTAGAAAGTTCTCTAAGGAATGTATCTGTAAATAAACGGATACTTTCTTAGTAATTTTGCATAATCAGTGTCATCATATAGTATGTTTTTCTTTAAAAGTTGTATTATAAACTAAGAACAGGTGATAGCAGCTATTAGACATGATGCAGAAATATGTATCATGACACTGTATAGTTGTAGGTCTTGTAAGAATAGTATCAACTGTGCTTGCTGTACTCAAGAGCAGTAAAAGAATTATCTTTTAAAGTTTAAGTTTTCATGATAATATCTCTCCTTTTCAACACATAGCATAAAGTTAACAAAAAATGATTTAATCTGTCAAAAACCTGTGTAGGAAAGCCTCCTTTGATCAGCTGGAGTTGGCAACATAGATTTGTTTGTATAAATAAATAATCATAATAATAATATTATCTTTGTAGAAAATTATTGTTCGATTTCCAAAATGTCATAAAAAAACATAAAAGGGTATTCCATAATTACCAGTATAGAAAATGTACCTTCCAGATAAACTTCTAATTTAAATTGAAAACTTGCATCATGAAGCTCAAATTTAAATATCAGGCCTCAAAAAAATGATAAATTATCCTTAAGAATGGTTTGTTATTCATATTATGATTGAACTGAAAGCATAATTTAATTTGTTTGTTCTATAGTTCTGAAACAGAGACTAGTTTCATTTGTGATTTGACCAATACCCACTGTTTTCCAGCCAGGAATAAAATTAAGTGTACAGTATGTTAGATGTACTTAGTTCTTTTATCCAAGACAAATCCATAAATGTGTAATGTTATTAAGAGAAAAGATGGTATAGGTTTTAAGAAAGTATTTATTTGTTCGATCTGAAAAGATTTTATTGTGATAAATTGTTAAAAACAAATGGGTACAAAAATAAGCACTTTTGATAACCTGCTTGGGACACATAGTTTGTTCTGATATGTGGGTGATGGTTATGAAATATATTGTATAGTTATTGTTATCTTCAACTTCTAAGGTGCATTTGAAGCTTATACTGTTTATAAAATGAGAAGATATTCACAAGTTACTTTACTTCCCTCCTCCTCCTCTTCCACTGGGTAAATCTTGTGGATAGTATGAAAATGTATTATGCCAAGTTTTGTGCAATGGCTTTCAACTGCTAAGGTTGTGTACTTAACTTATAAGGAAATATTATTGTTATTGATTTTTATCTCAAATATGTAATTATTTAAAAATTATTGTAATGAGAGAAATTAAATCAAAACTTAAGCTTCAATCAATTTTTGTCAAATAAAATTAAAAATTTTTAAACAAATCATTGTAACAGGTAAATAAAATTTAACTATATATCTTTACTTTATGATAAGATTTAAATGGTGCCTTGGACATATAAATAAATGGTGCAAGAATCTCATTTGGTGCTGCATACCAGCAGTGAGTAAAGTCATATAAATTTGAAGTAAAAACAAAATGAAACAGTTTGTTTTTGACCTAGAAAAACAGTGATATTGTACTTTTAAAGGAGTGACTGAATACTGGATGTTTTAGGTCCGTCCAACTGAGTAAAGTATATATGTTGATATAAGAAAAATATATAAAGTAATTTGTGTATATTTTTAAACGAAAAAAAAGATTTTCACTGTTTAGCCAGAAATTTTAACATCAAAAATATGAAGAAATGCAAAAAAGTTCCTAATGTACTTGCTAGAATGTTCAGGAGAATAAAGTATAGGTGAATAAGAATTTGTTTGCATAAACTGTAGAAACAAATGCATAGGAAGAGGAGGGAATTACAGTGTAGACATGGGGCTTACGGGTGTCAATGAAAAAAGTTTGTTTTATATATTCTGCATTGTAAATTATCATTTATTGTTGTTAATTACTAAATTTACCATTTAAATCAAAATGTTAAAATGTATTACATAAACATATTTAGCACTCTATAAGTTAGCCAAGTTTTTGTGTAATGTTGTAGTTAGTAGATATGTAGAGATATAAACAGTGGTACTATAGTTTTGAAGATGAAAAGAAAGAGGTTCTTCCCCAAATAACCATCTAAAAAGGAAAAGCTTGATACTTGATAAGTAAAAGAAACCTAGTTGTAGGAGCACGAAGAAAGTACACAATTCCACATGTGTGTGAGTTCTGGTTTGATTTAATGATCTAAGACTGAATGTCTCTTGGATTGAAATGTTCAGATGTAAAGAAATTGTATCTTTGTGATGTTCTATATTTTTAAAATTAAAATTCACAGATTTACAACAGTGTTTCAGTGTGCCTCATCCTCAATTTGTGTGTGTTTATTAACTGTGCTTCTCAAGTTTATATAAAAGTGCTGTAACTAAAAGCTGTTTTGGAAAAATATTTGGTTACTAATTTTGGAAATAAGTAGTATTACCATTAATAAGGAAGCTTAAGACAAAAATTAAACGACTCGCAACTTTGTAAAAAAAATCATCTTATGAGAGGTGGCGTTTCTAATATATTTTAGTCTTACATAAAAGCAACAAATATATTTAACTATTTAATCTAAAAATGCTTCAAAAATAACTTCTGATGTTACTTAAGATTTTAATTATAGAGATATCTGTTACAAAGTTAGAAAAGAATTGCATAACTATAAACGTAAATAGCAGAGAAAAAGTCTTATAAAAATTTACCTTAGGTTAACTATTCAATATCAGATCAAAAGAACATACAAAAAGAATAGAATCTGGAGTCGGTCACGTGGAAGCCGATATGCTGCTTTAAAAAAACAGTATAGGCATTCGCCAATGTATAATAACAAAACTGTAAGAATCCAAATTGTTGAATTCGTTCGTTTTACGATATAATGTGCAAAGCATTTGTAATAAACATTACTTTGCATTTGAGTATTATTTGAAAGAAGTCACAGTAAAGGTTAAACGTATATGAAAATAAGAATTGTATCATACTAATATATTTACGTAACTACGTGTTAACCTTAATAACTGTTACTTAGTCTCTAAATCAAAATCCCAACTTCAACGACGCATTATAAGGGCTATAATCGGTCTTCAACTTTAAAGTGTTATTGCAATTTTACAGTAGTTCAAGAGATAATATACTTTCTCTTTAATACTGAAATAAAATCCCTTGGCTTATTTGTAGTGTGAATTTGCAATATTTAATTTTTCTATTATTACACCAACAATAAGATACAAAAAATATGCTTTTCAGCTATTTTTCTGATACCAGCCTTTTTTTTACGACAGTTTCCATGGCGTTTGTGTGGTCATTATTTGTATCGGTTTTATAACTTCAGTTGGCTTTTTTCTTATAAAGTTATAGTTGACAGTCTAGACTCTAGAATGTAGATGATATTCTTCAATTTTTATATTAATGCACATATCAGTTTTTCATTTCATTTTAAAAATACCATAATTACCCAACTTTAATTTCAAAGATTAACATTGGGCACGTGAAAAGAAATTTGATACAAGCAACGTTTGCCCGATTTAACCGCAGCATCATCTGGCAACAACCAAATATAAGACAAATAAAACACTTATTAAAAACTTACAAATCGGGAGTTGTTAAGAGCAGGAAATTTCAACTTGACTAATCTGTTAAGCAAATGATAGAGACACCTCGATGTTCATTGAAGTTTTGTTTGTATGTATGAGCAAGAAGGGATCTCGTTTTGCTTCTAATTGTGCATAAGCTAAAACCTGGACACGATTAAGGCTTTTCTAATAGCACGTTTAGAGATGTGTGAGGGCGCGTCTCTCAAATGGCAAAATCGTAGACACAGTGTGTTTAATTTTACAGGTGATATTTTTTAAATCGGGGGACTTTGATTATTATCAGGTTTTAATAGCAAATTTTATATAAACTAAAAGTGTATTTTCTCTACATTTAGGTAGACATAGTAAAGTCACATTCAAAGCCAGACGTTAAAAATGTAATAACTAATTTAAACAAAATGTTTTTTAACTCGTTCATATTCTGCTATGAAACTTGCTCAGTTATTGTAGATGTATTTATTTTTAATTTTTTGATTCCGTGAAGAGGAAATCAAACATTTACACAGAGACGGCGAAATTGTCAAACATTTATTTAGTGAAAATTATACTTCGTAGTATATTTGCGTGGGAATCGATAATTGCTGTAGACTTAAACCTTTCATAACTAGCTTATACATACATTTTCTTACGTATAGTTAGCGCTCAAGCAAATAGAGCTCGATAAACTTTAAGCTGCATTAATCTGGTCGCTAGGCCAGTCTGAGCATGTAATTCTGTCTTGACTGACACTAATATGTGTAGGCCTTATCCACACGTTGTTCCGGACATAACTTGTTGACATTCCAAGCTGTTGATTTTAACTTAGCGCAGTTTGACACTCCTCTCCCCCTCTCACCAGTCCATTGTCGAATAATCATGTATTAGCTCGAGAAGCTTCTACCTGTTTAAATACAAATTGTGATTACATGTAAGCCAACCAGATCATTATGACAAGAATACTTTAAAACCCACTAGGTAAAAACACACCAAATAGTTACTGCTCATCAATAAAGATAGCATTTTTGATTAAAACGACTATATCCTGTCTCATTATTTCATTGGTAGAATTTGACTTATTTATTCTTGAAATGTCTCGCTTTTAATCTCTTGTTATTACGATACTTTTAACATATTTATTTATCATTTACCTGTGAATACAATTTGTTAGATACATTTGCAAAGTAAACTCATAATACAGCCAAATATGGCTTCAGTACCGTTTGGTAGCATAATAATAAAAAAAAAAGCCAACTAATGTATTTGTTCTGCTTTAAGATAAATATGCACAATCATATATTTGCCCTATATAAAATTAATAATTTTTTAAACAAAAAAATGATCATATTGGAAATCAGTACTTTGTTCTTTATTCAAAATTGAAACTCAGGATCAGAAAATATAAAATTATTCTAGTTTAACCATAAGCAATTGTTCGTGATTCTTTAGAGATTATAACCAATTAATATTAGTATACTTTGCAGTATTTAAAGTTTTCGTTTTGTTTCTTAACACATATCAGAAAAAATAAAATAGCCATTTTGACTTTTTTACTTCAGTGACATTGACGATAGGTGTTAGCTGCTACTACTTGTATTTCACCTTATTTTCTATTAAAATCTGTACAAGTATAATAAATACCGTCCACTTTCAAAGGAATATTTGCGGTTGGGCAGTGTACATATAGCTCATTGTATAGCTTCGTACTTCACAACAAACAAAGGAATAATGACCTCGAAGATTGGTATAAGACGTATTTTTACTAATGTAATTTTCTTTTCCACATCATGATATACAAATAAGCGAAAAGTCGTTTCCACATTCAAAGGGACTATTCCGTATGTTGTAATACAAACAATTAGACTGGGCACACACAGTCCGATTATAAATATTTTGAGATAATGACTCCAAATAATGATACGTTTTCGTCACCATTACACTAATTTCATGTCATTCCCTTTAAACCTTTGGGCAATTACGTCCAATTTTTGTACATTAAAAGGAGGTTCTTGTACACTGCTCAAAACAAAATTTTTAACATTATAACTGTGACAAGACTATAATAAAATAATCTATCATCATTTCAGTTCCTTGCCATACAAAATCGGTACCTGATCAGTCATCTGAGCTAAAATACTATATGTAAAATGGTCTAAAAGAGTCTTGTTTCAAAAGTCATTTAGTATGTATCACAATGTTTAAAGTGCTCCAAATGTTCGTGGTCCATCACTAGACTTTAAAGAATGCATTTGGATGTTTTATTTGGAGATACAAGTGTTTCAAGGTATCGTTAGTAGAATTTAGAACTGTTTAAAACTAGTTGTTTACGGTGTAGTTTCTCAAACAGACGACAGATCACCATCCGTATAAGAGACAAACGATTACCATCCGTCAACTATGGCGCACCACACTTTTAGAGTACCTACTCCAAAACTGAATCAAATGCTCGCAGTCACAACTGGATACTGTATTAGCGAACAGACAATTAGAAACAGGCTACACAATCCTAGCTTCTATACCAGTTGCCTAATGAGGAGCTTTTTGTTCCCAGCAAGGCACGAAACAAGTCGTCTGGAGTTGGGCTAAACACATACTTGGTGAATTAATGACATCCTGAATAGTATTATGCATCACCCGAGAGCCAGATAAAAGGCATATACTCATTTGGAGAGAGTTTGGAACCAGATCCAACTTCATTTTCATATAGAATGTGATGCAAAGAGCAGTGGTGGGAGTATTGTGTGAATTGTCTGAAACAAGAATTGGTTGGTAGACATAACAACGTCCACATCCTGTGCGATGATATCACTGACGCTAAATATTATAGCATTTTTACCAATTAGTAGAACACAAACTACTTTTTAAAATAATGTAAAACAATATGTGACAAAATACGTAGTTGGTAAATAAATGTAACCAAACTCTTGTTCCTTTAGCACGAAAATGGGTTATATGTAGTCTAAAGGGAATCGAATCAGGGATTTTTAGTATTATAAGTCCATAAACCAATGTTCTACTGAGGGACGGTTTAGTTAACACCATTGCTGGTCCTGTGAATATCTTGCATGTGTATATTCATCAGTCATGGTTTGAGATGGTTTGGTTTGTTTTGAATTTCACGCAAAGCTCCACAAGGGCTATCTGCGCTAGCCGTCCCTAATTTAGCAGTGTAAGACTAGAGGGAAGGCAACTAGTCATCAACACCCACCGCCAACGCTTGGGCTACTCTTTTACCAACAAATAGTGGGATTGACCGTTACATTATAATGCCTCCACGGCTGAAATGGCGAGCATGTTTTGGTGGGACGGGGATTCGAACCCGCAACCCTCAGATAGCGAGTCGAGCGCCCTAACCAGCTGGGCCGGTTTGAGATTATGTTATTGTTTCTGTTATGTATATTGACTGATTAGTGTAACATTATATGTAATATTTGCTATATAAAAGTTAAATTTAGTTCATAATAGCAACAAAATATGAAAAAAAAGGAGAGTGTACTAGACGCGTGACAAGCAAGGGATAATATCAGTACTTTTCGACGTTCTAGTAGGACTACAGAGATGAGAAATTCTGATGACAAATGGGTCAGTTTAGGGGTATTTTAGTAGAGATAAAATTGAAATACTGCATTATGGACAACATCCTACAACCCTTTGTGCAGCTATATTTTGGTGGTATTGGCTCTAACTTTATCTGATGCTCCAAACTCGTTCTTTATCAAAGCAACATAAAATTTCCTTACATG